GGCATAACCAGCCATTCGAAATGCCCATACCGTGTCTTGAACGCGGTCTTGTAGCGATCCTCCTTGCGAATCTCGAGTTGGTGGTACCCTGACTTGAGATCCAGCTTAGAGGAGAACTGGGCGCCGCCCAATCGCTCGAGAAGGTCATCGATGCGTGGGAGAGGGTCGGCGTTCCTGATCGTCTGTGCGTTGAGCTTGCGATAATCGATGCACAACCGCATGTCCTTGTTCTTCTTCCAGACGAAGAGAACAGGAGCACCGTATGGCGATGAGCTAGGCCGAATCCATCCTTTTTCCAGAAGGTCGTCGAGTTGTGCCCGAAGCACGCTTAACTCTTCCTCGCTCATTCGGTAGATGCAACCGCGCGGAGGTACGGCCCTGTCCTCGAGGATGATCTCGTGGCGGATGGGTCGGTCCGGTACTACTCCGTGCGGGCCTTCGAACACGTCGCTGTAGGCGTCGAGAAGCTCGGCGATGCGTGGATCCGAAGGTGAGTCCGTCGATGAAGCGTCATGGGGCGGGAGGGCGTGGAGAAAACACACCCCCATCTCCTCGATGTCGTCTCTGATGATGGAAGCTCGCATGCTTGCGGCGGATACCACGTGGCAGCTGATCGAAGGATGAGGAAGAGGCACCGTGCATGAAACTAATACTCCGTTCCGGTCACGAACGTGAACGGTGCGGTTGGAGAAGTTCACCGGGTGATCCTTGCTTCGCAGCCATGACATGCCCAAGATCATGTCGAATTTGGTGTCCAGAATGTCAAAGGACACCGCCTCACTTGCGTGAGGGGCAAAGTACACTGGGACGCTGTCAATGCACCGGTCGATTGACTTGTGCGTGTGACTGTCCGTCAATGTGACTTGCGTAGGCTGGGGCTTCCTCCGGACGCGTGGGCCAAGGCCGACGCGCACCATGAAGTCCTGGCTGATGTAGTTGCGAGATGCTCCGCAATCTATCAAAGCGCTGGTCGCTTCTCCGATCTGAATGCGTACATATAGCAATGGTGCGTCGATGTCGTCGTACCGTTGCGTCTTGAACTCGCGGTCGATCTTCGCAATGTAGACGTGAAGGTCGACAACCTCTACTCCGGCGTCCATCAACGGAGTCGGTACTACAGTGTGCAAGTAATCTCGCAGTTGTGCCATGAGCACATTGCAATGCGGTTTCGGCAATCGTCCGGTCGGGGGAACGGGCATCCACTGGAAGTCCGTGAACGTCAGTGGGTTGAGCACCTCAAGTCTTGATCACGACGATGAATCCCTGGCGATAGATGGCGGCGAAGCTGCCGATGGTGATGAAACCGTGCATGCGGTAGATTGTTGCACATGGAGCGGTTGGTCCAGCGGTGGAACCAAGTGGACAGCATAGTCCTCGTAAGTGTAACGGGAACCTGCGACATTCGCGTTCTCCCCAGATGTGCAGGAGGCCGCTAGCAAGGCGGTCGAATCTGGCGGAGTAGAAGGTGGAGTCGCCTCACCTTCCGCGGAGCTCAGTTTCCCGAGCTGAGGCGGTGTCGCACATCCTCCTTGCCCTGATCCTGGCACAGGGAGGTCTTGTGCTTGGTGCTGTTGCACCAATAGCAGCTGCCGTAGCGGCCTCGGACCTTGTACTCCGCCTCGGTCAAGCCGAACTTGACCCATGGAACTTGTACTGGCTGTCCATTTCCGGCTTGCGATGCGGATTTCGGTTCCCATTGTTGCGGGACTTGTTGTTGCTTCGCAGCTGGACAGCAGCCACCTGATCTCCGTCACTTGATGCTGGAGTGGCTGCTGGGTTATCTCCACTGTCCGACTGGACTGCGGCGAAGTGCTGCTGTCGCGGACCAGTTTGTACCTTCTCCACATAGGTCGGCTGCCATGTTGATATCTCATGTGCAGTTGACCTGTTGGTCTTGATGATCTCTCTCGCCTTGTCGATAATCTCGGCGAAAGTGGAGTACTGCACGCGATCACCAAGAGCCTAGCTCAATGCAGCGCAGGATCTGTTGTAGAACTCACGTCTGAGATGTATGAATGGCAAGTCCAGATTGGGCACTGCCGCAATCTTCTGCCACTTTGTCAGCCAGTCCCGTGTTGCAGTGTTGCCCTGTGACATGGTGAACAGACGGTTGATGGCGAGTGCTGGCGCGTAGTCGACGATGAACCGCTTCTTCCACAGCCGTGTCAGTTCCCCCCATGTGATCTTGTCCTTCAAGTCCGGTACGTCGACGCCGTGGGAGGTTGCCAGGTGGCTCAACCAGGTCTGGCATCCGCCCTTTGAGTTTAGGAACAAGGCGCCGATGTACGCATGCTTGGCTACGGGCAGAATCCTGAGTTGCGTTGTGAATGCTTCCCACCAGAGGACCGGATCCTGCTGCGTGTAGTCGTCGAACTTGTCCAGTTGGAAAGTTGGCATCTTGTACATCTTCGGATTGTCATCCGCGTCCGTCGACTGCAGCTGCTGGACCTCGGTCTTCAAGGTATGCAGCTGACTGCTGATGGTGGTCGGCGCAGCGAAGGTGCTGATGTCGCCGAGCATTTCCACTACGTGGTCAACGCGTTCCTCCAGTTGGCGGCTAGAGGTTGCACTGCTGGAAGCCCCAACAGCTGGTCCTGGTACAGCCTGTTCCAGGTCCAGCATTCGGGCATTGAGTGCCCGCGTTGCATCCTCGTGGCTCTGCACTGTGCGGCGGAGCTTCGCCAACTCCTGATGCTGTTGCGTCAGGTCCTGGTAGTGTTTCTCCAACTCGGACTGTTGGTAGTTGCAAGTGTACAACAGCCGTGTCACGAGTTTGGAGAGAAACTCCTTATGCTGCTCTTCCGGTGTCGCGTCGTCGCCGTTGGGTTCAAAGTGCCAGAATTTGAGTTTGTCAACGCTGGCTGCTTCATGCCGCTGCAGCAGATCCTGGGCTTCCTTGCGGTGAGCCTGGGCCTCTGCGTCTGCTTCAGCCTGTAGCCGGAGCTTCTCTGCTGCTGCCGCTTCGTCAGCCTGTAGCTGGGCAGCCTTGGCTGCCAGCTGGCGTTGTTCCTCAGCCTCGATTACAGCGAGCTGAGCCTGGAAGCGCTTTTTGTAGTCGGCAATGGGCTCATTGGCCAGTTGGCCTGGCAGGCCCGTCATGTTGCTGACGTGGCACTGCTGACGTGGCACTGTCTGATGTGGCACTGGTGATGTGGCACTGCTTACGTGGCACTGTCTGACGTGGCACTGCTGATGTGGCACTGCTTACGTGGCACTGTGTCTGACGTGGCACTGCTGATGTGGCACTGCTTACTTGGCACTGTGTCTGACGTTGCACTGCTTACGTGGCACAGTGTCTGACGTGGCACTGCTTACGTGGCACTGTACCAACCCGGAATGCATGCAAAGGGGTGGGTGGGAGGGAAAACGTAGGTAGGCAAACAACCCAACAATACTTTCCTCCGGCCCTAATCAACAGATAAAATAAAAATAAAAAAATAAAAGAGGACTACTTCCTTTTTTTTGTTTTTCTGTATATCTGTCGATCTATTATGAGTAGGACATGTCAGAAGAGTACTATGAGCGAGATCTAGGCTAGGTTCCGCCAAGTTTTGGCTTTTACAAACTGCGATCTTGAAATTTTTTTTTGTGAAATGGAGTAAAGATGCGATTTTCAGAAAAGAATGAAATCCAGTTTCTGAGAATATAGCAACCTCCGAATATGCCTAACGCAATATTGGTAGGCTTCGCAAGATTCGGTTTTCAAAAAATTTAAAAAAATTTGCGAGATAGAATGGAAATGCGGTTTTCACAAAAGGATAATTCCAGTTTCTGAGAATATGACCACTTCTATCATTATCCCAATATGAGAACGAAATACTAACTTCAGAAATTTTGGCTATGTATGCGAAATATCATAGAAACGAAAAGCTACTATCGGGAATTTTCAGACAAAACGAAATGCGATTTATCAGAAATTTTCAGATATCTGTTACGTAAAAACGAACTACTAGTATCAGAAATTTTCAGGTAAAACGAAATGCGAATATCAGAAATTTTCAGATAGTTGTTGCGAGAAAAAAAAAATATAAAAAATTCAGAGATTTGACTAAGTCCTACTTGCGTTACTAATGAGTGATCACTAGATCGCAAGGTGGCTACTTGATTGAGCGGGTCCTCTGAATGAGAGGTCCGCTCCGATACCAAACTGTTGCATACTGTAACGTGCAGACCAGAACAAGAACCGACCTCTCAATACAAAGTACAAGATAACACAGCGGAAGACTTAGATACGAATGATCTGAACAATCGATATTGCAATGCAGCCCTGAACACACATCACCATCATCGTGATCTGGTGTGAAGGGGGTCTGGCGCTTCACACAAGAAGACTGCGCCAGCCCCAACCATACACAGACGAAGAAGGAGCGGTTAGACGAAAGAGGAGGGGAAGATGGGAATGTCGTCAACACCAAGTCTCGGTACAGGCCCAAATAGTCCCTCGTCGAAATGTCTGAATCCCAATGTCCGGTCTGGATCCAATGTCGTCAAGTCTCAAGTCACAACTCTTTCTCTCTCTGTCGTAGTCTGAGAAGTCAGGTGGCGAGAGGGTGAGAAGAGATGGTGGACTTAGAAGAGGAAGAAGAAGAACTCTCTCTCTCTCTGTGTGTCCAATACTAACCTGTTAAGTTGGCACCTTGATGCAGGTACCACGAAGATGGAGCTGGTGCGATGGTGCCACAGGTAAGTACCACTGGCCTCCGCCAGTATCTCTCCCACTCTACGATCTACCACCTACCAGCGCCCAGCGCTGAAGACTACTCTATGGCTATGGGCGCCCAGCGCCGAAGACTACAGCTAGCGCTAACTCCTGCCTAGCGCTGAAGACTACTGCAGCGCGCCTCCTGAGTGCTGCGGCCGAATCCTGAAGACTACTCGTGCCTACTGAAAACTACCTACCAGTGAAGTGCCTGGGAAGTCCCTATGAACTACCACGGGTGCCTCCTGACTGCAGGCGAGCAGTCCAGGAGGCTGCTCTTGCCAATGCCGATCGGAGTCAGGGGCTSCCGCTGCAGCTCCTGCTCGAGCTCGTGAGGAACAGGCTATTTCTGGCCTGTTCCGCATCCCTGTTTACGTGCCTGAGTCTTAGGGGCAGGTCGAAACAA